CGCCCCGCGCCTGCCGGAGATGGGCCGCTCCCGGCACCTCTGCCCGGCGGGCTCTGCCTGCTGCTGCTGCTGCTCTGCCAGTTCCTGGAGGACCGCAGCGCCCAGGGTAAGCGGCGCGGGGGGCGCGGGGGGCGCGGGGGGCTGCGGCTCGCACTTCGCCGCCGTCCCCTCGGGTCTGCACGGAGCGATGCTGCTCTTGGATCCTAGGACCCACCTAGCGACTCGGGCATGGAGAGCCTGGGGGACCGGCGGAGGGACACGGGCAGCCGAGCGGGGAGCGCGGTGACCCTTAGAAAGGAAGGGAGCGCCCGGGTGCCTCTCGGGTTGGGGTTAGATGCTCCGGTTCTGGGCAGAACGAGCGCGGAGGTCATCCGTGGGGCTGGGCTCGGGGAAGGGCAGCATCAGCAGCCTGCGGAGTCCAGCCCCGACCCCGTGCAGGTTCACTCTCCCCCCACATCCCAGTGGGAAATGACTGGGGTTGGGGGGCGGCGGGCGGGGGGGATACTGAAATGTCTTCGGTGGCTGGGACGTGGTTTCAGAAACTTTGCCCAAACTTGGAAATGTGGGCGCTGGGCATTGTGGAGGGAAGTCACTTTCCTGCTCCGTGAATTTCTTCCAACCCCGTCCCCCGAACCCTGAAAAAACCCGACCCCGATCCTGACTCCACCGGGAGTGTTGTGCGCGGCTCACCGTCCCCCGCGGACCCCTCCTCCGCCGGTTAACTTCCCGGAGAGCAGGCGGAGCCGCCGCCGCCGATTTACATTCAGATGCGCTGAGCGCAAGCCTCTCAAGTTGGTTTAAAAAAAAAAAATAGGTTTGTTTCAGTTAAGTCCGAGCAGACTTGTAAGGAAATCCGAATAGCAGCGTGCGGGTCCGGTGACTGTTAACGGTGTCTGGATGCCTCGGGGAGAAGTCCGCGGACGCGGGTCCGAGCGCTAGGGGGGTGGGGGGGGCGGGGGGGGGAGACTCCGTCGAGGTTCGGTCGGGATGGGACGGCGTGCGCTCCCGGGACGGCGCCCCCCTCCCCCGGTCCCCGCATTTCCCTGAGCCCGAGGCGCGCGGGGCCCTGCTCTCCGCCACCGCGGAGGTGCCCTGGCCCCCGCCGCGGGCCCGCTCTTCGTGACGCCTTCGGGGCGAGGCGCCGCCGGGTGCCGGGGACTGGACGTGGGCGCCGCGGAGAGCAGCCCGGGCGATTTCGAAAGA